TTAGGACAGAACATGACACAGATAGACATACAGTTAATTATAAATGGAATATTAGGGTATGACTCAGATTCTGGTTGGGATTGGTCTAGGGTACCCTCTATCAGTGAGACAGACAACGGTACTGGAGTTGGAGAGGCTGGTAGTGATGGTGTTTATGAGCTTAGTACTTCAGCAGGATGTCCTAAAATGTGGGACGAGGTGGAAACAGAAATGTTGAGATTATGGAAGAATAAGCAGTCTATATCCACTGCTTTGGCATGTAAGCAAGGTGCAAAGGAAGAGATTGGTATTTTTGTAAAGAGATTTTACAAGTGTTGGAAGGATGAGGCAGGTTTGAAGTCTAGAGATGATATGGATATCCTTAAAATACAGTCATGCCTTGGTAATATATTGCCACAGTATTCTTTGCTTGTGAAACAATTGATTTCAGACTGGGCCAATTTGGGTGGCTCAGATTTTCTTACCAAGGTTATAGAAAAGGAAAATGCAGGTTGTTTTGACTTAAGAAAAGATTCAGGAAGTAAGGTTGCTTATTATGCTCAGGGATTGCAACACTGTCCACCTACACAGGCCCGAGAGAGAGGATGGTCACCAGACATGCTAGCTGCGTATATTGCCCGCAAAGTTGCTATTGTGTAAGTCCCGGCATTAGGACTACCTGTGTATTGTAAACCATTTCATTTGTATGCTGTAGCGGAGAGCTGATTTTCCACAGCTGAACTCCACCAATATATTAAGAGGATGGAGGAACAAGTAATAAATCCAAGAGAATATCGAGCACAATCAGCAATACAATCCAATAGTATCCCATCACCTTTCCCAATCACTGGACGACACACAGTATCAGGAGTAGAACTGAAGTTTAATGGCAACATTCCTGCTTTTATGAGATTCTCCCATGCAAGGAGGGGATTCACCACAATTAGTACAGTAACCAATCCCATAGACCAGTGATGGTGAACCTATGGCACGTGTGGCACGCTGGGCCCTCTCTGTTGGCACGCAGCCATAGGTCACCGGGAGAGGGGGCCACTGGCTGTCTGCAGAGTAGGCACCTGCCTGCCCGAAACAGCAGGCGCCTACTCTGCTTCCGTGTCAGGAGGACAGGGGGAGGGCTCTAGGAAGCAGTTCTCCTGTGTGGAGCATTGCCGTGCGTTACCATGGCAACGCTCAACACAGCATCGCATGGAAGGACAGGAGAGCTGCTTCCTAGCTGCCAGAAACATACTTACCACCGGACCACCAATGATGGCTGTGTCCCCCCCCCTTCAACAAAGGTAAGAGGAGGGGGGGGGGGATACAGAATTAATAATTAATATATCTTTTGGTGTTTTTTTTTAATGTATTTTTACCCCTATCCCCCACAGCACAGCACCACTACCCCCAACACAACACAGCACCACTACCCCACAGCACAGTACCTCTACCCCACAGCACAGCACCCCTACCCCCACACCACAGCACCCCTAGCCCCCCACAGCACCCCTACACCCACAGCACAACACCCGTACCCCTACACAGCATCCCTACCCCGCACAGCACACCTATCCCCGCACAGCACCCCTGTCCCCGCACAGCACCCCTCTGTGTGTGTGAGTGTGTACTCAGCAGTGTGTCTATTCAGCAGTCTGTGTGTATGTATTCAGCAGTCTGTGTGTGTGTATTCAGCAGTCTGTGTGTATGTATTCAGCACACTGTATTTATGTACTCAGCAGTCTGTGTGTGTGTACTCAGCAGTGTGTGTATTCAGCAGACTGTGTGTATGTACTCAGCAGTCTGTGTGTACTCAGCAGTCTGTCTGTGTGTGTATTTTGTGGACTGTATGTGTATTTAGCAGACTGTGTGTGTATTTAGTGGACCGTGTGTGTGTACTTAGCGAATGGTGTTTATGTATTTAGCGGACAGTGTGTGAATGTGTTCAGCAGTCTATGTGTATGTATTGCATTTGTTGGAGATACTAATAAATATAAGCTGAATTTTATATATTTTTATCATTATTTAAAATTTGTATCATTGAACTCTCTGTTGTGTTCTTCTTTTAAAACAAAAGTTGTTAATTAGTTCGGAAAACTGTACAAGTAGTTTTTTCTAAACTTAAACCTCAGTATTCAGATTTAATTGCCGTGTTGGCACTTTGAGGAAAAAAAAGTTGGCATGTATTTCGGTTTGGGTACTCGGGCTCAAAAAGGTTCACCATCACTGCCATAGACGTTACCTCCCACACATCTCCTCCCCTTAGATAAGCAATTAACACAATTATACAAGGCATACTTTTCCCCACTTTTTAGATGTACCCCAAATATGGGTGATATACCCTTAAATACCCCCTGGTAGCCCTGATCTGGGTGAGAAACATATCCAAAAATCACCCAGATCAGACCAGGGGTTTGGGAGTTATGGAAAGGTAAAGTTTTAACAGACCATATGGGTAAGGTAGCCGAAAATAGTTCCATGAGATCTGGCCCTGCGGTCGGTCTCCATTCGTGCCCCAAAAGTCCCGAAAGGCTATACCATCCATAGTGAAGTCGGTAGCTGGATGAATCCCCTAATTCGTGGGATTCATCCTACCGAACGACGGGCCGTTCGTGTGTTTTCATCAGTGTTTTCTGAAGCCCTGGAGGTCTTAGCGGTGTTCGGCTAGTCGAGTGTCCGTTTTGAGTTCCAGACACTCGACGCCCAAACACCGCTGTTCGCGGGTTTAAGATGGCTACTGCCATGTGTTCGGCTGCCGAAATGGCGGTCACCCAGGGAATATAGCAGCATGTTCGTATGTACAAGGGAATATGAAAAGCAATCAGGGAGGTAAATTACATCCATTCTTCACATCAGGGTGGTCCGGTTGTTCGGTACTTTGTTCGTATGGTGAATTTAGTCGTTCACATGCAAGCTGGTATTCTTATACTGAATAAAGTATGGCCACATATAGTTACATGTAATTATGTGTACTCCAGGCACAGGAAAACCTCTGCAGTGCCAACAATAAACGAAATGGATGGGACAGCCAAAAAGGGGTTCTGCTACATATGCTACGCAATCTGACTTTGATTTTTGGATTAAACAAGGTTTAGAGAAAGATCAGAATGATCTTTTCTCTAAAGAGGGGAGAATAGGCATACCTGAAGCCAGCTGCTTTATTTTCATCAGTCAGGCACATGGTCCCGGTCACAAAAGCATAGCAAGCACCATCCAATTCCTCATGAATTCATTTTATATTAGGAATCTCAGGCAACATGTACAGTCTTTTGTAAGATCGTGTGAACCATGTATGAGAACACATCCTAATATTCCACACAAATCACAGCACGAACATTTGCCCCCTCCAGCTGCTCCTTTTACACACTTACAGATTGATTTTACTCATGTACCCAAAATTGGTAAGAAACAGCAATACTTACTGGTCATAGTTGATCAGTTTAGTAGATGGCCCGAGTCCTTATTCCCAGGTATGGCTGCCCTCTGCAGATTAACTCTGATAATGGCCCGACTTTTGCCAGTAAGGTTACCCAGGAACTCTAAATTCAGGGGTAGTTCAGGGGTAGTTGAAATGATGAATAGGACCATTAAGGAGAAGCTTATGAAAGCTACTGCAGGAACATGGGTAAATTGGACAAAATATCTTCCAGCTATTTTAGCTGAGATAAGAATGACTCCCCACAAGGTGACTAAATTATCTCCATTTGAGATTCTGATGGGACGACCTTTTCCCACACCCTGGGCCAGGGAACCGCTTGTTATAATGTCTGGGGATTTACAGCTAATACAAGAACAATATGTACAGGAATTGTTGATAAAACTGAATGGTATATATGGCAATGTGTCTTCGCAGTTTCCCTTACCTTCACAGGAACCTACTCATCCATACCAGCCCGGTGACAAGGTGTATATCCGTAAGCTGAACAGGATCAAGACAGGAGGATACCCTTATGGACCACTTGCTACTGTGATTGCTGTAACCAGAACCGTTGTCCTCACAGATTCCCACATCTGGATTCACGCATCCCGAGTGAAGCTGTGTCCAAAGAGGGGAACCAAGGAAGACAACACCACTCCTCACTCGGAAACAGAAGAATTTCCCCTTAGCGAAGCATCATGGCTTTCACACCATATCGTAGATTGAGAGGATCATACGAACCTGAGACCAAGATTATGTTTTGCGCTATGCTTTCTGGAGTTGTTATACTCCCTCTTATATTGTTCCTTGAATGCCATTATGGCGGCAGTAATTAATCATGCCGAGGAAGGTGAGCAACTCCTTCCGAGTAGTGGGTTTAGGAATCCTCTGAATGACCTCAATAGGTTTTGGACTCAATTGTCTGGTGCCTGAAGCCAGAACAAAACCTAAGTAATCAACCTTTGATTTACACAATTGCTTTTGGTGTTTTGCCACCTTGTGACCCACAGTTGCTAAGTATTTGAGCAAACTGACAGTATCCACAGTGCTTGCCTCATAGCTAGGGCTACATAACAACAAATCATCAACATATTGCAAAAGGACGGAACCATGTCCATGTTTTTAGAGTATGTTGGAGTACCAGCGAAAGTCAATGGGAAGTTTGAAACCTGTTTGTTTCTGGAGAAAAGACTCTGACACGATGAACAATTCTTCAGTACCCCCAGCCCAATTAGGCCTTAGCCCCTCATCTAGCATTCGTCACACACGCTCCCTCAAGAACCTTTCTCCACCACCTATCAGCATGTAATATGCAATCACTCATTGACTGAACGCATCTGGATGAATTGGACAAATAATAACCCCTATAAGTGCCAGTTACCCATTTGGAATGTGTCCACAGCTAATGAAACCGTTGCATTATGTTTGTTTGAAGGTTCACGGAAAATTGTTAGATCTTATATCACAGGAACTTGCACAATTAAGGTTGCTAATTACACTGGTATTTGTGCTACCTTATGTAATATAAGTTCTGATGGTAAGAAAAAAAACACCTCAACAGGTTTGGGATATATATTATAAGAAAATTAGTAAGGTTGCATATCAACGTAAACAGACAGGCCTTATTACTTTTAATAATGATTATACAACTGGTACCATTAATTGGAAAAGGGGACAAATGTTAGTCATTATGAACGACACTGCAATTGAGAACTGTACACTACCTTATATGTTTACACCTTATTACTGTCTTTTATCCTCTACCATAGAACCAAAAGTCAACAACGACACACACACACCTATTTCATCCACGTGTTAATACAACTGCCTTCTTATAAGCTGTACATGTGTCATTAAAAATCACTACTCCTGGTGTAACATTATGTAACACAGCAAACACAAGGCAGAAAAGGGAATGGTGTGACACACTGTTAGGAGGTGCTGGAACCACTATGGGTATACTAAATAGTATAGACATGGAGACCCTCAAGAATAAGTTAAACACGGCCAGCATGCATATAGGGACTGTTTTCCATGCTACTGCAAACTGGGCTCCAACTGTTGTTAAATCTCAGGTTACAGGATTGGATTTAGATAAATCAATGTATAACTATTTAGGTAATTTAACTGCTGCAACTATGAAATTCACTACAGGTCTAGTTAACTGGAGTTCTTGTGCCATCAGGTATTTATGGATGCAACAACAAAGATTGGCATTAGAAGACACACTAATGATTCCTAAACTAGA